TGTGTATTGGAGTAACTTGACAAACCTCCTGCCCGAATGAAGCACCAGGAATGAATCCGGAAAGGTCAGACCGTGACGTTGAAAGATTTGCCTCCTTCTGACGGCCAGTCGGAGCCACAAAACTCTTCCGGTGTAGACCGCAGACGAATGGCGCCATTGGCGCTTTATAATTGACTCTCGCATGAGAGATAATCTCAAAACATTGAGGGGGTAGACCAAAAAGCGTGCTTTTCCGCTGATTACCCACGGCGGTCCAATATCATGGCGCACCACAAAAAAGAATTAAAAGGTGATTTGAAGGAGGGCGAATGATTAAGAAGAAGAAAGTATGATCCTAAACCGGAAATTGTAAAGGAACAGAATCAGTAAATACCCAACATGTTCGACTTTTGCTAGGATAATGGACTGTTTTCCCCCGTTTACTTCTCTGAGGTCATTTATTTGTTGCTTTTCTAGCGTATGCATTTCTTTATTCATTGCTCTGTGTATTTACTGCAATCAAGTCATGCAATATATTCATGCTGGGACTGTTTTAAACTGTATTTTATTTCAATTCTTTATGCCTGAGGAGAGTGTTTGAGTACTGAAAAAAAATTCATCTTTTTATACATTCATTTTTCCCGTGTATTTCTTTGCATATCCTTTTAGAATTTATGTATCTACGTCTCGATCTATGATTTTAATGTTTTTATTATAATTATAGTTAGGGAGTTTTTAATTATGTGTACACGGGTATTTTTTGTATACTGTTAGTTTGCTTTTTAATCTTTTTATTTACAATTTTTTCAACGCGGCAGGTGGTTTGGGTAACATTCAGAAAACAAATATAGTACCAAGGTCGGGGACGGGCTCCCAACTTGATGAAAAGTCTTTTTGGAAATGTGTCAGTACATCGTAAAACACCGTAGTGTCGAATTACTTCATATTTGCTTCATCAATGGCGCACCGTGCACTATTGTTTCAGATTGTATAGTGCAAGACTACCTTGTGGAGAGCCTTGGTTTCAAATTGCAATGGAATGTTAGTTTTTAACTAATATTATTCTAGTACCTCTCAGAGCTTTCTATACACATGACGAGATCCAACGGACATGGTGGACATTGCACTGAACTATTGCCCTTTGCAAAAATTAGCTTTCAGTGATCAAAGAGGCGTTGGATCAGTACTATAACATTCAGTGCCTAGTTCAACCTTTTGGCAGAGTCACACAAAAGGAACTAAAACGTGATCCCTTCCTGCTTTATTTCACTTTTCTTGTCTATCTGCCAGTCTGTCCTTTTTCCATGTCTCTTTCTCAAACTTTCTAGTCTTATTAATCGTATGGTGTGCCCACGAAATAACTTATTTCTCTCTGGTTGGAGATTGCTTTCATATCAATAAGTGATTTCTCCTTATATCTATCTATCTATCTATTTATCTATCTATCTATCTATCTATCTATCTATCTATCTATCTATCTATCTATCTATCAATCTACCTATCAATCTATATATCGTTCTTTCTTTCTCTCTTTCCTGTTCCCCCACCCGTTTTTGGCACTTAAACTAAACTGTTGCGTCTATTGTCTGTTTTCAGGTGAGCCGCTGGAGATTGGGATAGAAGTCATTCTGGCAAGTTTTGACAGCATCTCTGAAGTGGATATGGTGAGTTATTTTCATTATTTTTTCATTATTTTTAGTTTGGAAGGGCAGTATGAAAGGACTTGCAACATAATCGACTTAAACTGTGCTACTGTGAAGTACTTTTAGGAGTGGTGTCTGAAGCCAGGGTGATAAGAAAGAGGTGTTTTTTTAACCTGCTGAATTTTTAGTTGTCTTGTTTGTAGTACTCTCTCGAGCCTTACTTTGCCATGCTGTACCTTACGGTACCTCTCATGGCCATATCGAGTATTGCATTGCCTCACCTTGGTGTACCTTGTACCCGGGTATTATCATTCTACTTTGTCTCTCTTCATTTTATTTTACATTACCATGCTTTATCCTTTTTTACTCCCCATACCATGTCTTTCCGCGTGTTACATTGTTTTGCCGTGGCTTACATTGTATAACTGTGTCACGTTACTTTGTCTCGCTTCACCGTACGATACATTACTGCACTTTGCCTCACCCTGTGTTAGGTCCCCTTTCCTTGTCTTACCTTTTGTAACAATATCTTGCGTCTCTTTGCCTTCCCTCCTTGCTAAATGTTGCTTTGCTTGTTTTGTGGTGGGACGGGGGGTTAAAATATTGTACTTGTATTATACGAGCTGCATAGACTTAGCCTGATCGGGCTGATTTGGATACAGCGCCCTAGAAGACAGACGGAGACACTCCAAAAAACAACTTTCCCACTCAGGAATCGAGCTTAAGTCTTCTGTTTGCAACAGCGAAGAGTCTAACACGTGCACCGCAGACGCTGTCACTTTGGTCCATTGCTTCGTATTACCTTTGCTCACTGTGCAGTATTATATAACATTGCCTTGCCTTGTCTTGTCTAACCGTACTTTCCAATACTTAAAAGTTCTTTCTTTTACTTTGCTTTACTTCCACTGTCTTGAGTTTTAATTAAAAAATGCTACTTGATTTTGACCAAGCCGTCGTCTAAGTAAGTTGAAAGTCAGTGTACCCCACAATC